GATTAAAATTAAAATTTAAATTATAATTTATTTACTTATTTTATATTGAATGGTTGTAAAGGGTTTTTGGTTCGTTTCCCTAGAAAAACCGGGTATCTCATGGCATGTAGCTGGTATTAATAAAGATATTTATACTTGTTTTATATTGATATATTATATATTACTTAAAATTAAATAGCAGCAAATCTTTGTGTAATTATTAATTAATTATTAAATATTATTATTAATTACTGTTATTAAATATTTGTTAATATTATTGTGTATGAATTAATGGCATAATTATAAACTTATTTTTGTGCGGAAATTTTACGCATTTGGCTTGAATTTCGTTAATATTAACAGTATACATATCTTTAGAAATATTTTGCACCTGTTCTATATTAAATAGTTTAGAAGAACAGGGTGAATTAAAAAATGTTGTTGATTCTGTAAACTTTTTTCCCGTTATAAATATTTTCAGTGTGTTAGTGTCTTGGAAAATGCCGTCTACGCATAGTACAGACTTGTCTCTAATCATGACGCAATTTTCTTTATTTTTTGTGGTGAATTCATACTTTCCAATATCCACTTTTTTGTAGAATATGCATCTTTTCTTATCAATAATTTGCACTTTACTTTGTTGATGTAAAATTGGATAAATCTTATCGCCCTGTTTCTTAATTATCTTCTCTTCTTCCTTTAGTCTGTTACAAAGTTGTAAGGGGTGTTTTGTTGTTTTTATTTTTCGTTTTATTTCATACAGAAAATTTTCATATTTGAAACAACTGAATGTGTCAAGTGGACCGTGCAATAAGCAGTCTGCAGGTAAATGAATGAGGCCATGTACGTTGTGATTGATAAATTCTGGACCATAAATAACTGAATATTTTTGAACGAAATACTGAAGAAGTTGCAAAGCATAATCATTATAAACTGAATATAATGCAGGACTACATAAAATACGAATAGCGCATGATAATGTCATAAAATGTGTATACATGTTCTTGTTTCCCATATTTTGTAAAACGATCGGTCCAATGTACAACAAAAATTGTCTTAGTTCAGCAGCTTTAAAGTACTCTATGTCGTCTAAGCTTCTTGGTAAGCGGCCAAAGTCTTTAGGTACATAATTCTTTAAAAATAATATTTCATCGTTAATGGCTTTTTTCTCATCGTCAGTGAAGCGAATGTTTTTTCGTCCTCGTACCCAAAACGTTATCAGTTTTTTCATTACACCGAGAAATACCAGATGCATACCATCAAGGGGTACTTGAGAAACTAACCCGATGTTAATATTTTCAAAAGGAGTTGTACCTTTATGAAATTCATTATCTGATTTGTTTTTAAAACTTACATCGGTACGTAAGTCCACATTGATATCTGGGAAAGCTAGTCGGTTATTAATAAAGGTACCACTTTGACTACATTTAGTACAACTAGAAAATCCTGTGTGACCTTTCGTACATAAAACAAAAGACTTAGCAGGAGCATCGCAAAGTAATTTACTGGCCTTTATTTTAACAGTTTTATTGCATATGTTAAATCCATTATCTTGCAAGTGTTTAAATTCTGTAACAAATTCACTTAAAAATTCATTAACATCAGCTGGTTTTGTATGTCCGTGGTAAATTCCAGCTGCAAAAGGTTTTGAAGCATTTAGACTAACTGAATCTGTATCTATAGAAATCAAAATCGGCCAAAATTGACTTTTTGAACTGTTTGAAATAGGTAATCCGTCTATGTTTATACTAATGGGTAACACTGCTTCTGAATTTTGAAATAAGAAATTTTGCATATTAATACTGTTATTGATGAGTCTACTAATTGTATTCTCTATTCCAATGTGACAGTAGAAACCAGGAGGCATATTAATTATTTCATAGGGACATGAATTTGGTGTTTTCAAAAGAATACGCGAGTCTGCAGGAAACTTTGGATATGGCACTCGTAAAATTTGCAACATATCGTTAATGGCCCGTTGACTTAATAAATGTCTATATTTCAAAATCCATTGTTTTATGGCATCAAGTACGAACTCTTCAGTCGTACATGAAACTTCATCGTCAAATTCTACGTCACATTTATGTAATTGAAAATCACCGACGAGCGCTTCTGTATATCTTATAGATTCTACATCATCTATTATTTCTGTTGGTAATACTGCAGCAGTACACTGATTTTCGGTCTGTGTAAATTGGTCAATATTTTTTTTATTGCTATTTTCTTTTTGTGTTGCTGACTGGAATGCAGTTTTAGTTTGTGATTTATCACTTATTTTTATTAATTTTTGATTCGCCAACAAAGTTTCTAATAATTCTCTTATGACTATTCGACGCATATGTCTTTTGGACACAAAACACTTATTTATTTTTCCCATATTTTTTTTGCGCTATCTGCTCGCGACTTTGTACTATATTAATTACTTTCTAGCCAGTTGTAAACCGTAATCCGCGTGACGAGCTCGCACCGAAAATCGAGGGTCCCGAAAGGCCCCGAAAGCGCACGAGCATTCCAAACTGCGAATCGTTACGTGGGGACCGTTCGCACTGACGAGTTCACGGAGCGCATACACACCCCGACGTCCGCGACCACCGCTTTCCCCTCCTCAAGGCACCAATTAATATACGATCCGTACTGTAAGGAACGATGTGATATGAAACGTGAATGTGTGAGACGTAAAGATATTGTAACGTAAGAGTATGACGCACAATCACTCTTTATTGCTAGATCGAACAACGTCCGTTCTTCTTCGCTCGTCGTTACTCAGTGAGTCCCTCGAAAAACCGCCGGGGGGGGAGGAAGGAATCCCTCTCCCACTACGCGCGCCCATCCATGTATCCCTCCGTGTAGTCCGACAGCGCCAGGATCTGGTAACGCGCCTCTTTTAAGGATGCAGAGTCGTAATTTCCTCACAGTACCGATATAAAAAGTCTGTAATTAGCCCGAAAAGCTCACTCCGGCCGTGAGCAGCTCTCGAACACTTCACCCGCTAGCTACTCACGAATCCGTTTTCCTGCGTTAACCTCGACGAGCGAAAAGGGGGTAGAGCGTACTCTGTCTCCGTCGAGCGTTCTCGATAGCCGGCAGTAATCCGTCGCGGATTGTGAGGCGGGCCGATCCGCCGGCTCGAGCACCCAGTCTCGCGGGCGAAGCGCCCCAGCCGAGTGCCTCGTGTGCGACGGT